TTCAAGTTGTCAATGTCGGTTGAAAATGCCGTGTGTTGTGATTTTCGTATCCACACGTTTAATCCGTGCTGTAATTCTGATACTGATAATTCACCAATGAAGCTTGTTGTTTTTTTTCTTTTACAATTTTTAATAAATCGTAACACGTATGCCGTAACCCGTTCTACTAGTGAAAACCATTTGAGAATCGTATCGTCTGTCACTTCTGTGCTGATCAAACTGACTTGTATACGCCGTTCGGGAATAGGCTCTTCGACTTGGGGTTTAGTATTGTTTGGCTATGTGTCTTCTGTATGTGTTAGCCACTCAGACTCACAGAACCAACGTTGGTTTTCAATCAATTGTGAGGCTGAAATTCCCCGACTAATAACATCGGCTGGATCATCCTCTCCTTTGACATATAAACCACTCACAACCCGCCGTTCGGTCATGAATTTCGCCTACACGATTTGCTATAAATGTTTTCCATGATCGACTACCTTGTTGGTCAGTTATCCACGTTAATGCCACAGTAGAATCACTCCATAAACAGCAACGATTAATTTTCACCACACCCTTTAGTGCCGTCTTTACCTTGTCAAGTAGTAACGTGGCACATAATTCTAAACGTGGTATAGTAGTGTTTCGTAATGGGGCTACACGTGATTTCGAACATAACAGTTGACAGTACATGATTGAGTCATCGTTTATCGAGCGTATGTATACACATGTGCCGTATGCCAACTCTGATGCGTCGCAGAATACGTGAATTTGAATGCCTTGCTTCGTAGAGATAGTTGACCGTCTAGGTATAGTAATATTGTTTAACATTACTAAACCTTTACGATATTTTATCCACTGCTTGGTGTATTCGAGCGGAAATTGGCTGTCCCATCCTGTGTTGAGGCGCCATAAAAATTGAATGAAAATCTTCGCTGCAACAGTAATAGGATCCATCAATCCCAGTGGGTCAAATAACTTAGCGATCTCTGAAGTGACGACTCGCTTTGTCACTGTCTTCGCTGGTTTCCATTCCGTGACCTTATTGTGTAAACTATCTGTCACTGGTGCCCAATTCACCCCATGTGCCTTGGTGACTATACTGTCCGAAAAATTTAACTTGTAAATGGTACCCTTTAGATTTTCTGGTAAATGACTCGACAGACTAGTATGGTTAGCATACCACTTTCGTAATAGAAAACCGCCTTTTTTGCATAATGAACGAACATCACGTTGCAGGCGTCTAGCTTCTGACAGTGTGTCTGCTCCGGTTAATAAATCATCAACATAAAAGTCACGTTTTATTGCTTGGGCAGCGACTGGTAAGTTATCACCTTCATCTTCGGCTAGCTGATGCAAGGTTCGGACAGCCAAGTAAGGCGCAGCCGCTGCACCATATGTTACGATGGCCAAAACATACGTCTTTTATTTATGTTTCGGTGGGTCGATCACGCCATATGATTTTTTTAACTGCTAGTGCGGTTCGCATATTTTAACTTGTCGGTACATTTTCTCAATATCCCCTGTTAGAACATAGCAGTGTAACCGGAACTTGTTTAGAATATTGAATAGATCTTCTTGAACTGTTGGGCCGACCATCATTGATTGATATAGTGAGACGCCCGTTGTACTTTTTGCTGACGCATCAAAAACCACGTGTAGTTTGGTGGTAGTACTCTCTGCCTTAATCACACAATTATGTGGCAAGTATGCTTCTGGTAATGTTCGTCTTATCGGTTGAGTCTCTTCATACATATGACCCAATGCCTCATACTCCTTCATAAACAGTGTATAGGCCGCCTTTGTCTCTGGACAGGATTCTAGTCGTTTTTCTAGTACATAGAACCGACGGATTACCATTGTTTTCATGTCGCCGAGATTTTTCAGGATTTCGTTGCATAGTGGTAAATTTACTACATACCGTCCGTCTGTATCTCGCCGTGTTGTTTCTCTATAAATTTTGTCACACACTGTTATTTTTGAGTTTTGTATCGCCATGTCATTATGTTCTTCAAGCTCCCAGAACTTACGCAAAAGTGTGTTTAAATCTTCGTCTGGCTGTGTAATCGCGATGAAACACTGAATATTTGTTTCTGTATTTTCATTACTGTTTACGCGTCCCGCAATTACCCAACCAAACATCGTATTTTGCAACGTGTAATAGAGTCCGAACTAGTTTCAGCAAAATTGGCCATTTGTGCAGATATAACTGACAATAATTCAAAAACCTGATCGTCGACACTACGTCTTATGACAAACTGCTCGTCATCTTCAGTAATGTCTTTAATTTTGTTTTGAATTAATTCAAATTCTGCTTAAAGCTCTCGCAATTTTTCATAACGATACTTAAGTTGAGCATGGCCCACTTCTGTCCGATCGTTGAATTTATATACATAAAAACTCATCGATTCAATTTGACGCATAACTCGATTACGCTGTTTCACAGCCTTCTCAAACGCTGTCTCTGACATGTTTTTCGGCCTGAAGATGACCAATGTTAATACTCGTGAATGGACTATAATCATAAAATATTATAAACATGAGTAACCTATGCTGGTTAAACAATACTATATGCGTTACGTCGTGTAGCTTAATCTGTGAATATTGCGCAAATAGCCCTTAACATGTCGTGGTATCCGCAGAGTACCATCGACACTTAACAGTAGAGTACCGCCTTGCACGAGTACCCTAGACATCAGTCGACCACCGCAGTGCGCCGACAACGATAACTATAAAACGGAAATAATTAAAATATAGTTAAGGCACCATACTCTAATTATTTCTTCCTGATTACGTGAATTATGCCTAACGTAGCTGTGCACAGATGAACTCATGCAGTTAGTTTATTTAGAATTGCTCTAAATGTTACTATCAATAATATTGTGTTATGTATAAATTTGTCTATTGTAGACAAATTTATTCTATGCAATAAAATAAAAACAAACTTACTTATAGTGAATGATCAAACACAAACCAACTTGCTTTATTAAGAAAATAACTTGTGACAAAAAAATGAAACAACAATTAAATAAATATGAAATATAAAAAAAAAAGGAATATCTGCTACATCCTTCTTCTTCTTCAACTTGGTTCTGAACACTGACCGTCGTTAAGACTACAAGCAATCCTCTGCCCTCTCAGACTGGTAGGTAGTACCGATCCCTTCTGTGACGCTAGGCAGTTGGTCATCCGGTCCGAACTACCTGCCTCTCTGTTCGCCGACATACGGTAATGATAACGGTCAACCGCAATCTTGAAAAAGGCATCAGCGGCAGTATGTCGTTTGCGCGGCGGTCATATGACACGGTCACTCGTATCGAATAGGTAATAGAAGATTACGAAGATGGTTTACGGATTAAGGCGCGCCGATCGGGTTCGTGGAGGGAAATATAAAGAAGTAGAATACTCACTAAAACCGATTAATATTTCATGTTAAAGTAGAGTATTCGAAATTATAAAGTACGTCGAATGTATTTAATGGAGTAGGCAAAAACGAATATTCCAAGTATTCGCTAAGTAAATAAATATTTGAACTCGTAAATTTAAAAATAATACAATAGTGAATTGTTTGTCATTCAAATAAAACGATTACGAATCGGAAATTCAATGTGTAATAATATTTAAAAATATCGCACACATAAAAAATTATTATTTTTTCAAATGTAATAAACCAAAAATAAAAAGAAGAGTAGTGGTTGATGGCGGAATTTTAAATTTGATGATGAAAATATAAGATGATGGTGGGTCAAGAAGGTAAAGAAAAAGGCGTTTGTTATGGGGAGTAAATATTATGATATAACCAATAATAATATGTAGGTTTAAGGGAAATGAATAATGGAGGACAAAAATGGTGGTGATGTGGATTTTACTATTGAAGGTGTGAATGCTTATATTGTATCAAGAGAAAATCTGAGGGTTAATTCTTAGTCAGAGTAAGGATATAATATAGCGTATGTATGGCCGAATAATAATAAAAATTATTAAATAAGATAATAAATGGCGGAGTAACACATGTTTAAATGTAGCAAGATATGTAAGGGTGCAAAGGACATAATGATACGAATAAAGAAGAATTCAGAGGAGTGAATAAACAGTTTAAATACATGAGGGTATTGATCAAATAAATAAAAATGTACACAAACGTTGTGACAAAAATAATGAACTGATCTCAGAGTTGAACAATATTGAATAAATTAAGTCAATTATCCTACAAAACTTTATTACCTATCTTAATGGTTTATTACGCAATAGAGTATTTATAATTTNATCCTACCAAACTTTATTACCTATCTTAATGGTTTATTACGCAATAGAGTATTTATAATTTGAAAGCGGAAATTTAAATTTGTACTTACCTTGTATCCCACGTAATGTAATGCTTATTTTAGACAATCCAATGTTGATTATGAGTTCACACTGTATTTCACACGTTGTACACTACGAGTTCGACAGTAAATATGACCGTTTGAGAATAAAGCGTTTAATTATAAATAATGCGAAACCGTTACACAAAATCTATGACTGTAATATTATATGCAGGAGATTCTATACACTCTATATTTTTTTTATAATTATAATCAAATAATGTATCTTTAGTTGACTTTGTAGAATGAATATATTATTTATGAGATTATATTTTATTGAGAGATCGACACCAATATATCTTAAATTTTCCTTTGGCCTGGCCAAAACAAGATTCAGAAATATTTATATCTATGTAAAAGATTTGTCAAGGCGGAACTATGGTGGCTCAATGTGTCCCGGCGGTATCGCCTTGAAAGGATGCTGCACAATAATCACCAAGACAAAAATTAAACACTAAAACATATATTCGTAAGTTTCTTTGTGCTATCTGCCGGCGCGATGTTCGTTAGAACAAAGACATTAAACTACAAAAGATTAGCTACCCAATAAGTATAGAGTTGCAATACACTTAGTCATATAATAAATATTTACCATTAACTGAGAAAATTAGAGTTGATTCGGGTTTATTATATATATAAAAATAATTTAAAAAAAAATATTTGAGGTTCAACATATCAATTGACATTTATTTCCACGATAAAATAAAACATTATTATTTAATGAACAAATTAAATCAAATTAAAAGATTCACCAAAACAAAATTCACTTTAAAATCTCTAAGTGTCATTTAATTTTGAAGAAAAAATATTCTAAGTCCAAATAAATTAAAAAATCGACAAAGTCCCAGAGAGTAAGAATCTTGAGTAGTGTCGCAGATTTTGTGTATTTTAAAATCGCCGAAAGAACTGATTTTAATAGGAAAAAATGGGTTTTTATATTAGACGAGGGTCGTATAACGATCCCTAGTGTGATCTCAGAAACTGTAGATCTTAATTAATAGTCAAATGTGATTGGCTGGACCTAATTGAAAACCCACAAATAGGCGTTACTTTGAATCTGTACGATAATCAGATTTAATTGCCTAATTTATTGATTATTTTAAGTTTTAAATATGGGAACTCCGTTTTGGTGATCTTGTGAATTCATAATATATGACATACATGTACAAAAGATAACATAATATAATATTTTAATATTATAAGTAATTATATAATATTATACAAATAAAAAAAGTAATATAAATAGGAAAAATCATGTTTCATTATTGTGTAATACAACACACATAAAAAAAGGTTTTATTCATATTAAAATACAGTACTCGAAATATAATTTGAATGCATTAATATAATTATTATTAATTAATCATCGATATAATAAGAAAAATAAACAATTGCAATTTAAATCATGATAGAACAATTAGTTTAAAAAACACAAAGACTATTATTTTTCGACATATGGTAAAAAATATTGTTAACATAAGATATTAGTTTCTTTTAAAAATAAAAAAAAAGTAACGTACTTATGTTTTTCTTGCGACAGTGAATAACATTGACGAGTACGCGGAATATTTAAACAATGGCAAAAAAAGACTCCGTACTGAAAGAGACGTCTCCGTCGATGTTCGGCAAGCAACAACAAGAGGACAAAAGAAAAAAGATTTTAGAATTGGTATCGCCGGCGAAGAAAATATCGAAGAAAGCGGAAGCAACCATGGAGAAGGCTATGTCGAGAAAACGGACGACGACGACGACTGTGGATCTTACTTTGGGGAATCATCCTATTTCGGACGACGACTCTCCGGTTAGTATTTTTTAAGGAACATTATAGAAGTCTGTAAAGTAAATTTCATGTTGTTATAGATAATGGAGCCCGAACGAACAACAACGACAAAGTTATTGAATGGCTGGACAACAGAATTAGTAACGTGGAGAGAATCCCTCCTGAATATAAAACGTTGTGCTGTAATAGAACAGTGCAAGAAGAAATTTGGTCCATTTACGGCCACGACATTGACATTATTAGCGAGATTACTGATTTTTGTTCCGGAGTCGAGTACGAAACTTTCGAGTTCGACGACTCTAATAATTCTCTGGTTAACTTTCAGAGATACCCAACATCTATTGATCAGTCTGTGGAAAAAAAAAACTAGAGACACCGACGTTGTGGGCGGAAATAGAAAACGAAAAGACGACACTGAAAGACAGTTTGCCTATCGTATTGGCAATGGCCCAGAAGAAACTGACGGTAAAGTTTTTAGACGCTGTTCTTAATATTTAACACGTTAAATGTGTATGTTTATTGTTGTTTAGGGGTGATACGACGAATTGCTGCTAGCGCAATTCGTTACAATACTCAAGACGATAGAGTGCGATATAGATATTGGGTGTTGGTGCCCGATGGATCTGGAAGATTACGCAGACTCGTTGCTGACCTGGTCACTAATTTCCAACGTTCCAGAAACAGCCACAACCCATCATCCGTCGTTGTCATTGCAACGCACGACGAACACCTACACCTCGTGCACACCTGCACTAGTTCAAACTCGTCTTGTAGGTGCACCTGGATCAAGAAAACGAACGGCCTCCGAGAGTTCAGAAGATCTGAACTGAGAAGAAAAATATACCGAAATGACATCGGCGAACAAGACTGGAAAAATGTCTTGGGTTATTTCAGCAAATCTGGCCGAGTCTGCATATTCTGTTTCGTCGGAGGTCGAAGCGTCGGACATATGTTACGATGTGAGAATGTACCTGTAAGTCGAGTCGACTTGTCGTTAGAAATCGTCTTACATCTAAATACATAATGTTACTTTTGTAGAAAGCAGGACATAAAGCATGTGGAAAGTTCGGACTTTTGGAAACATGTATTTTTGAAAATAACGGGGACTTGCCGAGAGAACTCTCCGCAACACAAGATGATCAAGAGTTTGGCAGCGGACACTCTTGCAGAAATCAAACAAGATCCAAATTTCAAACGGGTCAAAAAACAAAAATGGGGAGGAAAGAATTAATTGAAGTAAAATTCAAAGAAATGTTACGTATGTTTCCAACTTGCCCCCCCCGATATGATTTTTGAAATCATATATTAGTTTCTTTTAAAAATAAAAAAAAAGTAACGTTTCTTTATTGTCTCGATCACACACATAAAAAAATTTCGTTCATATTGAAGTAATGTACTTGAAATACAAATTGATATAATTATCATTAGAAAAATACAGTTTAATGAGAGACTCACACCTAAATCGATACAATAATATTGGTAAAAGAATTACGTTGTAAATTAAAAAAGGAATAAATGTTTTCAATGAACTCCGAGAGCAGACTGCACGTAGTAATCGTGAAGATCTTCCATTGTCCAATAGTAAGATCTTATGGAATCGAGGTTTGACATGCGATCTGAAAAGTAAACAATATAAATGAAAATAAAATCCAAGATAACAACTAATGAAAAGCTTACAGTATCATTTTGGAGGAATGTCGAACAGTAAGGGAGAGCAAGCGTTGGCTAAAAAAAAAAAACCAACAGCACAGAACTATCAACACATTGTGAGTACAACAACAGAAGTGAAAATTTTGTAGCTTTACCAAAGGCCGTACACAATCTAAAATTTACAAATCACATTAATCAATACAGTCACTACCATGATGGGAACATATAAACTACAATTGCTGTTTATGTAATAAGATGAACTCCATTACACACAATTCTATAAATAATCACATAACTGAATATAAATATACACGTACAAAAAAATCAAAAACATTTGGATCTTATTGATCAATGCAGTACACATTACATTGTTATCAACAATAAATAAAATACCGACCGACCTAATAATTAAAGCAGGCAAAGTAATTAAATTTATTTCAAATAAAATAAGTCAAAATCAGTTACCTGTGTAAGACAACCATTATGAATTAGAGCCAGCACTCTTCAGGTCAGATGGCTGCTAATCAATCAGTCAACCAGGCAAAACAGATGCACAGACTGAAAATTACAAAGTCAAATTAATACTGCGTTTACCATAATAATAATAATAAAATATCTACAATATAATGTATATGCATGTAAAAATATATTTATATATATATATATAGAAAGAGAGAGACTGTATAGACTGATGTAGTACAAATTGCACCAACAAATGAAATACAAATCAAACTAATTATTAAAATATGCAAAGTAAATTGATTAAAATGTAGAAAGATAAACTCTATTTTAAGAAAAGTCAATAGCAATAAATATCTTTTGACAAATGAAAATAAATTACCCGTGCAATAAATTCAATAGCGATGCCTACCATAAATCTCTAGCTTAGTTGTTATCTTGGCACCACAACGGTAGCACAGTCTAAAAATTATAAAAACAAATTAAATTAATACTGCCGTTTCCCTAATAATATTAACAATTTAAAAATTATCATAATTCAAAAATAATCATAAAGGGAATAACAAATACACGCAAACAAAAACTTAAAAATATAACAATTGCAAAAATAAAATAATTTACAAAACTCATTGATTATTACTGTCATTAAAAATAAGTATTTTATTATTGCAACTGCTGTACAACAATAGTCAATTACACATTTTAATATATACTCGAGAACACCACAAAGATGTTAATGTGTGTGAATAAATAAACATGATAACGAAAATTAAAAATGTATGATTTTGTTCAACACACACCACACAGTGTAGTCACCAATAGATAAAACACTGACCGAGTAATTTTAATTAACAAATAAAAAAGAATTACCCGCATAATAAATCCGTTATTCATTAGAACCAGCACTCTTGGCCATTGGGTCGAACTGCTATTCAATCACGGTCGTCCAGATACAACAGATGCGCAGTCTAAAAATTACAAAATAAATTAATCAATACTGCCTTTACCATAATAATAATAATAATATATCTACAGTATTATTATTACAACTGCTATGAAATTGTCAATAACACGTTGACAATTTGAATATGAAATACAAAACAACCTAATGATTAACAAGTGCAAAGTAAATCAGTTAAAATATAAAAAGATAAACTCAACTTTGAAAAAAATAAAATTATGACAATTAATTAATGTTTAATAAAATAAAATAAATTACTCTTTTAATAAATCCTAAACCATCAGCGATTTCCAACGTATTCGTCCGGGCACAACAGATGCAAGTCTAAAAATTACAAAATGAAAATTAATTTATCGGTGCCATTACCATTAAAAAACTACATTAATTGCTTACTGACTAATATTATTTAACAAATAAAAATGAATTACACATGTAATAAATCTGTTATCCATTAGAACCAGCACTCTTGGCCAACAGGCCAAGCCATCATTGAAGCATTCCTCAGGGTACACCAAACTCCTAAATATTACAAAATCAAATTAATTAATACTGCCTTTAATATAACAATATATGTAATGTTGCAGAATTTGACTAGCTTTTTAAAATAAATCTTATCCAATAGAGGTGTGTGCAGTAGGTGTAAACTATTTTAATAGTTGTGTATGTGATAACCTCCACTAGTCAACCAGTTTGATATGTCATCCTATCGTCATCAGCTGACCGTACATGGTGCACCTTAGGGTGTCCCTTATTTAAAAAATTTAAAAATTACAAAGTGCCACCCCCTAGAATTATTCGAATAAATGAAAAAATAAATTGTAAAAAATTTGGAGATGATTGGTCAACTCTAAGACGTGCCACAAGGGGGTTAAAAATAACCCCACCAAGGATGATTTTTTAGTTTTTTTTGTGTATCTCAAAAACTTTAGCTTTTGCGAAAAAGTTTATTTAGACTTTTTTGTAGGTATACAATTTTTAAATAAAAAGTATATACAGGTGGCCCACCACTCACTGACAACTTAAATAACTTTTGATTCAGTTAATATTTTTAGCTGATTTTTTTTTTAAATAATAGTTATACGTTAGGTCTATAGCTATATCTCAATAATTAATTTTTTTACATTTTATTAAAAATATTAATTATTTTTAAATTTTAAATAAAATGTAAAAAAAAAATCTAAGATAGCTATTTTGTAGAGTAGAATTTAAGAAAAATTTTAGTAAAAAAA